ACTTATTGTCCTTATTATTCGTAAACTCGTAATCAAAAAAATATATTAAAAAAATCAAGTATTCTTGTTATAAAAAAATTTATAAAAGTAATTATTAAAAACAAATTAAATAATTCATTGGTGGGTTTAATTTTTACACATTTATAGAAAGGGGGTAAACTTAAACGAGTGGAAAACCCCAGAAAAAAACTTGCTACGTCACTGTTCCTGGTGTTGAAGTTGAAGCAAAATAAAAAATATGTAAATAGATTATTAAGACCAACGAACAAGGAAAACGAAACTTGTTTCATTCAAAAAAAAAAAAAAAGAAATCAACGATTATTATTATTACTGTGTTTTTTGGGAGTTTACAGTAGTTCAGTTTGTTTACAGGAGATAATTGTTAGGAGGAAATTGTTTCAACTTTAAGCACATTTGTGTTTTTTATTGTTTTATTCTTTTTTTTTAATTTTCTGTTTTCTTGCTACTATGTTGTCATCTAGGCCACATATTGTGAGCGATTGAATACTTAATTTTCAATAAATTCGAATTTATAAACTAACGTTATGCCGTGCATCTGTCGTAATGTCGCGTCATAACATTAACAACATCATTAAATGCGTTAATAGTTAGACAAAACTGTGTCGGTTATAAATCACGATATTGGTAAAGTTAAGAAATGATGTACATATCGTAAAAGAGTAAACAACTGTTCTAGAATGTAGGTTTTTTATAATTATATGGCAATACGCACTCATGACATTTTAAGAAGATTCATTTTAAATGTAATTAATGAAAAACGTTTTTAATTTTTTTTTTAGTCTTTTCTTTACAGTAATAAATATACATTCATTAATAAAGAAGACACTGTGTAGTGCCCTCTTAGTAGTTGAATTGTTTGTTTTTTTTGCCATGTCAGGATTTAATTAGTTGTTTATTTTGTATACAGCCAGAGGCCTTCTTTAGGTCAAAATTTGTCTTATAGTAAATCTATTTTTATCTATAGCGTCCTATAATATTTCGTATGTTGCTATACGTTCATTAATAATGAAGATATTGTGTAGTGCCCTGATGGTAGTCGCCTTATTTGTTTATATTAGCTCTATATGCTAATTATTAGTCCTTTTGTAAACGATGCGATATTTTCATCCATATTGCATATTCAAAACTATAAAGTCAAATTTGTTTAAATGGCAACAGGGGATCTTTAAATTGTTATTCATTTATGTATTGATAAATATATATAATTATGGTTATATATTGGTATATCATACACTCAGATGCCCAAAATTCTATCCACGCCTGTTGTATAGAGAAGAAGGCAAAAAATTATTTATAAAACATGGATTTATTCGAAATTTAAAAAATGAAAAGCAGCTTTGTTGACAAAAAACAGTTACAACAAAATAATGTTTGTCATTTGTTATTAATACCTAGTATTTTCTCATCGGGACCTTACAATATCATACATATTGGCATTGTGATAATTAAATTTTCATCATGAAGTTGATCCAATTCGATCCATTTTGTCTATGAGCCGCACTAAGCTCAAGCAAGTTGTTTGGGCGATGTAGCCGAACTTAAATTCATCTTCCCAGTGTGTCCCATAGTTTTTCGATTATATTAAGGTCGGCACTGTCAGCTGGCCAATTCATACGGACAATCCCGACATTTTCTAAGGATTCATTCACGATTCAAGCACGGAGAGAACTCGCGTTATCGTCCATAAAATAAAATTAGATCTTATGAATGGCGCAAAAGGTAACCACGTACTCTAACATGGTTGTTGTATACTTCTCTCTCCTATCATAGAACTTCTATTCACAATAACTAAGTCAGTACGGGCATTGGTACTTATACCATCCCAGACCATAACTGAGCCTCCTCGATAGGTTATTCTGTTGGCAATATTGTATTGGGCAAAGTGTTCTTCTACGAATTCTTTTGAGACTGTCTGGTGACCTCAACCAAGACCTGGACTCAACCAAGAACAAAACATTACTCCAATCTGCTTAATTCCAATTGTCATGTTCCTTCGCGCAAAACCAAGTCGATCTCAGCGGTGTTAGACAGATAGGTGTGGAGACTGGGAATTATTATCTTTTGGATAATAAATTCGCTTTATTAGATCGTCAACGAACTGTCCACCTTCTTACATCCACATGTCGGACTTCGTTCAGGAGATTTGCAAGCCCAGTTGAAGTTAGATGTCTATTTATTGAGCGGATTTTGCTCTTCTATGGCCTGATCCTGACCTTCTAGTGTAGTTGCCGTTTTGATTGAACATCACAACGACTTACACCTAGAACCTGGGGAGCATAATATTGGCAACGACCATCTTGAACTAAAGCCACGGTTCTTACAGCATCCGATGGTATTAATGTCATTTTAATACAATTAAAAACTTTGAACTCAAAACGTTTTAATACTAAATTGGTTTGGTTGTTAAAATTAGTACGATAACTAATTAATTTTTTGCCGCTTATCAAAACTTTTGACAAAAACTAAAATACCTATGGTTTGTAAAAAATACCATAAAAATAAGGAATATATATTAATAATTGTATGTAAGAGATGAGCTAGACTAGGTGACGTAATATCTCCAAAGGTTTTTAATTTGACTCTAGAAGATGTTTTCAAAACTACAACTTCGTCAACATATGGCATCAACGTTAGTGGTAATAAGTTAATCTACCTCATATTCGCTGACATCGTGATTATAGCGAGCACATTCGAGGAATTACAAATTATGATCAAGGAACTCGCAGACAGCTCCCAATACGTCGGCCTTGAAATGAATATGACAAAAACAAAAACAACATGTAGTTCGAATGGTTGTTTACAACAAACATTTCGGATTAGCATAGCTTAATGAATCGGATGGATAAATAGGCCCTCCTTTTAAAGTTTAAGTGATATTTCTTTCTATTACATAGTGGCAGCTGTCATCCTCATTTTGAGTATGGCCGATAACTAAATAACGATGAGTTATAGAGGAATGTACTGATACATTGAAATTAGGTACTAGTTTTTTCCTTGGCCGCCACAATTGTCTGAGTAAAATATGAATTTCAAATCAAATACATCTATTAGTAACTCCAATGGTGGATATAAAAAATCTTTTACACACTCTTTTTTTTTTAATCACGGTTTTCCAAATAAAATGCATGATTATAACCACAACTTAATGTGTTACCTTTATCTGCATATCGATATGTTGGTTTAATTATAGACATGGATCTCAGGATATAATTTCGTTCTTAATTTGCATTTCTCATTGACCAATATTTTTCAAAGATTTGTGTTCTATCTTGTAACGTAAATGTTTCATCACATTTCAGTCTACATGGATTGCAAGATGGACCTAATCTGTGAGCAGTCTGTACAAGATTACCAATAACATTGGTGTATTTTTGGCCTAAATTTCTGAGAAACTTTCTAACATTTCTTTTCCATCGGTCCGGACAAGCCTTCATTTTCCTACTTTTAGGTTTATTAATCGTTACGTCTTCTGGTACTTCAGTCTCCGCATTTTCGTCAGAGACTTCTGTAAATGTAGACAATACATCATCATCATCATTCGCGTAATGAGGGTCCTTAGCAGAACTAAAATGGGTTTATTTTTTGTTTAAACTGGCAGATGTAATCAAAAAACCGTCTAAAGTTTTCTACTAAATCGATTATTTGGAATTATATATTAAAATAATATTGATATTACTTACGTTACTCTTGCTCGAGATGGTATTAATTCACTTCTTTTCTGATAACCCTTTGAATCAGTTATTTTTAAAACAATAAATTTATTCCTTTTATATAATGTGACACAACTCCAAAATTGTCACTGATACAGTTTAAAAATATCTAAAATTGTCTGCTATAGTGACACAACTCAAAAGTGCCGGTATTGCATAGAAACTTGATATCAGCAGGGTTTGACTTCCACTGCACAACTAAAAAGGGCCAGTACAGCAAAAACAATTTATCTCAATCGACAATATGTTACAGCTACACTAGTGACGTTTAGCGAACATTTTTGCTATTATTATTGTGCCAGTTTTGCAGGTCAAAATTAGGTTATTTCAAGCTCTCTGGGGATGTTAATTTAAATTTTGTCAATTTTTGAGTTAAGCCATTATTGCATACAGCCGGCGATATGGTACGTCTCCGTCGCACTTATACATATTATACGTACTTATGCGAAAAATTCTCAACAAATATTGACATTCATTAAAAGTTTGCAATTTATTATTAACATAGTTGATTTTGAAATTTATTGTGTACTATTTTACACAGACAAATCTTAGAGAAGTGCTATGAATTTAATGTTGAAATTTATAAGTCTTTATAGATTTCTGCACTGCGTACGACACATCACTAATGGCATGCCATAGAGAGTAAAGATTTTACATACCAAATAAATTGATAGGAGTGGTCAAAGATACAAAATGTTGAACAGATGTTAATCAGAACAGAAAATGTAAGCTGAAAGTCCAAGGCATTTAATTGCCTAGATCTCAGTAAACAATAGGCTTAGGGCCGGTTGTTCGAACGCTAATCAAAACTTGATTAAAATCAAGTATTTAATTACAATCAAATACGTCATATTTGGAGGTTATGTTGACTGATTTATATTATTAAATTTTATTATTTTACGTTTTAATTTATAATAAACCATAATTAAACTCTTTCTGATGTTAATTTCATGTTTTTATTTACAAATTAATAATAATAATAGGCAATTTTTAATTGTGACGACTTTTAATTAATTTTGTCAGCTGCTGTGACGAATTTGCTTGTAATTAAATATTTGATTACAATCAAGTTTTCATTATCGTTCGAACAACCGGCCCTTAGACAACTGAATGCGCTATCTTGCATTCTATTCAATTAGGCTCTAGAATACGTTGTAAGATATACCAACATTAAGAGGCATACTAGTAAACAAAAGCGTACAAAACAAATATGATAATACTTATTCTGTAGTCCTCTATTATTTGATAATATTACCCAAAGTAACTTACGTTCTGAAATCTTCTAAGGCTCCAATATACTTTTTAAAGGAATTATTTTTGTATACCCTCCAAATTGGGAGTTTAAGTTCGACCTCTGCTACATTCCAGAAAAACGTATTAATGGAATTAATAATTTTCTGTGATTCTGAATCTTGAGGTAGGTTCGGTTCTAGACATCCGAGTCTTCTATTTAAGGAAACTCTTGCTACAGCTAAAATAAAAACGTTGTTTAATAACTATGTCAACAAACTGTTAAACAAATTAGGTACAAAAAGATTTAGTTAATATTTAGATCAAAAAATGTGAATTTAATCAAATCAAAACATTTAAAAGTCTTTTTAACTGTTTATGGCTTGAAATATATATTTATATATCATCAGCATAATTATCTTTGCCTTTCATTAAGATCCCTAATGCACCTAATATCTCTCTTCTAACTTCATATTAAAAATAACCAAAATGTGTTAAGTTTTCAAGTGTTCTCTTCACGATGTTACGGATAGGCGGTGGTCGAACTTGGATACCTTGTAGATACATGTTCTAGTATATGAAAAGAAAATGTTCGTAATCTTCGTTGTTTATTTCCAAACGAGCCATTTAAATCTCTTTGTAAAAGTTCCAGTAACCAGAAATAGCGACAATTATGACATCTTCATGCAATAACTACCTTATCTTTAACACTAAACAACAGTTATCTCAAAAAGAATTAACTTAAGGGGTTACATAGCTCCTGTATTTTCAAAAATTGATGTAAGTATTTTTATGTATTTTTGTGTACTTTTTTGATTTGAAACAAGAATATATTTTTTGTATAGAATTGAATGTTATTTCATGTTTTTTTTCCTAGAATGTTTATACAGGGTGGACAAAAAAAATTAAGGCCACATTAATGTTATAGTAGGTGGCGTCACCTAGTGTCAATGGTAAAACTAATATCATTTTCATATTAAGCATACTAAATAATACCAAGATACCAAATTTCACTTAAATTGGTTGAATAGTTTTCAATATATCCCTAAAAATAATATAAAAAAATATTAATGAATCACCCTGTAGAACGAAAACTAGCAACATTTTGCCTAAGCAATTTGAGCTCAAACCCTTTATTTTGATGTCAGCTATCACCCATTAGCTAATGTATAGAACTTATACATGTACTTTCTTTCCAGACAGGGAGGTGCAATTGCACCCCCTTGCACCCTGCTACCGGCGTCCATGTCTGGTAATGTTTTTTTTTACCTCAATTTTTCTTAAAATCTAACAATAATGTGTCAATCTTTCTATAATCAATTTAAGGTATTACTGAGTCTTAGCATTGATGTTTAGTAATTTATGTTAATTTTTCTCTATATATGCTAAATATTATGTAATATAAATGGTCAAATGCAATCCTAAATATTTATGAATTATTTAACTAGATAAATGAAACGAGTCACCAGATATGTTACCGGGTTTTTAGGTTACAGTAGAACATAATAACATTGCGTAGAAATTCTTGAATAGTTTCGAATGTTCAAATTCAATCTAAATTTTAATACCCATATTATATAATAGGTAGACAGTCTAAAAGACATTCTAATAACTACAAATAATCAGATTACTAAGTATTAGGATGGAAATAATAGTTTTTATGATTATATGACGAATCGGAGATGCTCTGTAGAGGAAAGGGGTGAATAGTAGCCGCCTAAGCATTTTGGTCTATTTATACTGCTACATAGCCTCAAAATTTATACTGTTAACGTAAATAAAACTTCAAACCTTACTACTTCAAACTCTATTTATGAAAAATTTGTAAACACAACAAAAAAAAAATTAAAACGGTTTTTCAGATTTTTAAGGTTTTCTGCTGGGGGCCATATTTACCCGCTGTCGAGGGGTAAAAGTGCCACTGTCACTATTACCCTATTTAAAAAATAATTAAATGCAGAAATCGCAAATGTAAATTTCACACTGTAGAATTCGGCATATTATCCAAGACTGAAGTTATGATATCGTTGCCTACATTTTTTATACATAACTTTTTTAGATATTCTGTACCATAATGGAATTATATATCTATCAATGTTTAATTACCCTGCATTTAGACTACGAGACAACATTTGATTCAGTTTACCAAAATAAAAGATAGAGACCTTAGATTAGGATTATTTGGATTAGGTTAGGATTAGCACGATGGCGATAGTCCGATGGTTGGATTCTAATGAAACGCTACAGTTTTACTATACGTAGAAAAGAAGCATGTCAATCAAATCGTAAAGGGTTTCCAAATAGGGACGTCCTGTTCTAACAAATTACCATGGCAAGATATACGCTTGAACAATGTTTGGAAATTATCCTAAAATTTTATGCTAACAATTGTTCTTTTGTGAATACCTATCGTGCATTACGTGAAAGTTATGGACCAACTCATCGTCTTGATGTGCATGTAATTCGTCGAATCGTGGAAAAGTTTGAAAGTGAATTTACTCTGCACTATACGAAACCACTAACTAAAAGTTGAAATGCAAGAACTCAGGACAATATTGCAGTGTAGCGAAGAATGCAAATGTGTCAGTAAATCGTCGTTCTCAAGAACTTGGACTCACCAGAATGTCAACTTGGCGAATTCTGAGAAAAGATTTAGGCCTACACCTTTACAAGATTGTTCTGACTCAAGAACTGAAGCCACTTGACCATCATAAGCGTCGTTTGTTCGCTGATTGGGCTCTAGATATACTAGAAAATGATATCGATTTTTTAAAAAAATAATCTTTTCCGATGAAGCTTATTTTTGGTTAAACGGCTTTGTGAATTAGCAAAATTGTCGTTTTTGGAGTGAAAATAATCCACATGATATTCTTGAGAAGCCTTTGCATCCAGAAAAAGTCACTGTCTGGTGTGGTTTATGGCATGGTGGTATCATCGGACCTTATTTTTTCGAACATTGTGTAACAGTCAACGGTGAAAGGTATCGAACGATGATAACGGATTTTTTGTGGCCTTAGTTGGACGAAATGGATTTGGATGGCATATTTTTTCAACAGGACGGTGCCGCTTGTTACACTACTGCCCCAACCATTGATTTATTGAAGGAAAAGTTCCCGGAAACATTGATTTCTCTTGTTGCCAGAGATCCCAGGAGAATTCAGCAACTTCGATCAGATGCTTGGCCTCCAATCAGCTCAGAAGCTGAGATTTAACACCGTTGGGTTAATTTTTTATGGAGCCATGTTAAGTCATTGGTCTATGTGATTAAACCATAATCTATTGAAGACTTGAAGAGGAACATAGAGCACACCATTCGTGAGATTAATGCGGATATTTTGCATAAAGTGACCGAAAATTGGGTTCATCGGATTCACTCCTGCAAAAACGTAGTCGCGGTGGACATTTGAATGATGTATTATTCGGAACATAATTGTTATCTATTATATTTTGCAATATTTTTTTTTTGATTTACAACAATTTTTACCGTTTTCGTTTAAAAAAAACATCAGGACATTCTTATTGGGAGACCCATTATATACAGTGCACTCCGTATGTTGTTATAAACATGATCAAGGGAAATTGTTCTCTGATGGCTGTCGAAGGACCGTCTATGAACAATATATATTCTTACCGGAGATCGGAAGTACAATAAGAACTTTAAAAAATAAATTACTTTCGACCTCTTTAGGTCTCATCAGATATTTCTTTACTCAGTTTGGAGAACCAGAAACTGAATTCACTACGAATTTTGACCATGATAAACAGCAGGTGGAATGCATTTTTTAGATTCCCTTGTCGAGTAATTCATCAAGCTGTTTGCTTTGCAGGTTGTAGAAGGCACAGTGGTAAAAATTTGAATTCAGTTTCGCCAGGTAGGAAATCGTATGATTTCTCTTCTTGTTATTAGATGGCGTTCTTACGTCTGTAAATAGTTATTTCGATAATTATTGGCCTACGACGGGATAGATTTTGTTTCGATTCGGAGCAGTGGCATATACCGCTCTGATGAGACCTAAAGAGGTCGAAATAAGCTTACCGCTGGCCTGTATTGAAACAAAAATATAACACCGTCATTATGTAACAAATTTCTTGTTCGTCGTAGATAAAACATAGTATATAGCTCGTTATGGTTTCCTCAGTTGTCAGTCTCAAATCGTGAAACAGCAAAATACGTGAAAATCATGCTTGTGTCATATGCCCCGCGTCGTTTCATTTGATGTTTCACATGTAGTAAGGCTTTCTTCTTTTCTTTTGGCCAATTAGCCAGGGCCTTCTTCTTCAACAACTTGTAATTTTATAAATATTATCATTTATAATAGTACTTGTTTATACAAGTACTATTATGAGTACTTGTATAAACAGGAGAAGTACTCATAATAGTACTAGTTCAGAAGTCGACAGGACTTTGTTGTGGATGGGACTTCGTTCCCTTTGGTCGGTGGCTTCGTTCTGACATTAGCTACGGAAAAGAAGAAGAATTGGCAGTTGACAGACAAAGAAGAATTGACGGACCAAAAAAGAAGAAGAAAAGTTGACAGTTAACAACTGGTTTCGGTCTTGGCTAAGGTTCATCCTCGGCCGGTAATGCAGATTCAACGCTTGCCGACAGTGACGTCACACTGTTTCTCCCAAGTGCTTCATATTCTGCTTCTCTACTCCGTAATTACAAATGGAAGTAGTGACGAATATCGAATAATTTGAAAACAATAGAAATATTTTAGTATTGACACCAATTCCATAAAGTTTCTCTTAATTCTATAGAAAGAGCTAATTTAAAAAAATAGGACCTACATATTACTTACATTCTAATGCCCATTTATAAATTTCTGACAGGAAGTGATCTGGCAATTCTCTGTTCGTATCTAACATGTTTTCCATTCTGAAATAAAAATAAAATAATAAATTAGACAAAACTGCTATATAGTAGGCGTTAAAGTAGGTATCAAACGTATATATAGTAGGTATTAAACGTAGGCGTTAATCATGATAAAGCTATGTATCAAATGTAATCTCTCAATTAAAGGCTAAATTTTGGCGCTTCGTGCAAATTTGCTAATGAACGATTACTAAATATGCATCTCTAAATCTAAATGGATTTTACGCATGTATATGTTTTATGCATCGAGCAAAATTACAAAAGAGGGAATGTAAAGGTAGTGGGGGCACAAATATTGTTAGACAGGAAGTGCGATCTTTAGAGGCCACATTAAACAAGGAAAGAGAGTATTTCTCCTGGTTTGACATCAAATTTAGTTGGGTTATGTTATTGTTTGTCCCAAATGTCACATGAAATCTTATTTATATTGAAGTTGTTTAACAATTGTGTCGCATTTTAGACTATTATCGTTAATAATTAATTAAAACTTTCTCGTCTAAGACACATTCTGAAAAATATTATATAGCTACTGTTAATAAGTGTCGGAAATTTTAAATTTGGCGCATTCGCATTTCCGGATATGTCCGCCATCAGAGGCCACTTTTTTGGTCTCCTTTTCGTAAGGATTAGATTCCCTCTTTTGTCTTTTTGCTCGATGGTTTTACGTCTGCATTCGCTGCGAACTGACCGTGCGCCTAAGAGCGCGTTATCAAAAATTCCATATATTGGTCAAAATTAACATAGAAACATTTATCAAAGCTTAGAATGTTCGTTTTGAGTTGTTCTATATCTTCTTTTTAGTTTAATTTTGTTTAAATCTCTTTTTGAAATTTTTACTGTTAAATTGTTAATTGTTAATTAATACCTTTTATTTAATTTAATAACCTTTTTATTAATAAAGGTAAAGTAATTTTGAAAAGTTGTTTTTAAACTGAACAAATTACCTTTAAAATGAGAAAGTTTTCTATTTACCTTATACTTCGAAAAGCCCCATTGAATGCCTATTTTGCAATAGTTTTTCACGAAATTTCTTATAACTCCGGTTCTAACAATTGGATTAAAGTTTACCAAACGCCATGTTGTTAATTTTTTTAAAAGGGGAGATTTTCATTTTGATAAAATTAAATATCTCTAATAGTTTAGAAGATACAATACAATTAAATTGTTAATAACAAATTATCTGATGGATTTCCAGGCTGGTAAATGCAAAAAATCGAATCTAAGCACCAAAAAACAAAAAACAAAAAAAAAAAAACGTCAAGTTATCGATGGTACATAAAAGGACATACTCAAGATCCCCTGAGTCTTAAAGTAGGTGTAAATTGTGCACCTTACGGTGCACGATAGATTTTACCTATATGAAAAACATTTATTAAATACTGGCCATAGGTAACTGACGAGATAAGAAATAAGATTTTTCCAGTACTGGAGAGAATTCGGTATTACTGCACCAAAAAAGACAAGTTTATGGCTAATGTTCATATTCTAAATGTTCTGTATTAAATGAATATTGATCTATGAGTTAGATCTCCTTCTCTGAGCTGGATTGCAAAAAAAAACAATGTTAATAAGCCCTGTCTATTGCTACACAGATGAATATTAATAAAGTATGTTCTTTGTAGAGAACATACTATAGAAGAATACGAAATACGGGAATACGGGATCTCTTAATGACACAATCTGGAAGAACAAACACCTAAGACAAGACACAAAAACAAGAATCTATAAAGCAGCAATTAGGCCTATATTAACATACACGGCGGAGACAAGACCTGACACATCTAAAACGAGACGACTACTAGAAACAACAGAGATGAGAATACTTCGACGACTATCAGGGAAAAGTCTGTTGGATAGGGAGAGAAACGAAAACATAAAAACAGCATGCACTATAGAAGACATAAATGGCTGGGTGACAAAACAAAAACAGGAGTGGAACTAACACATCAGTAGAATGGCAGAGGATAGAATAGTACGAAGAGTACGAGATAAGTCACCAAATGGACGAAAAGTATTGGCAGACCAATAAAAAGATGGTGCGACAATTCAAACAATTTAGGAGGCTAATATTGAAGAAGAAACAGGCTTTAATGCCTACATACAAGAAGGAAGAAGAAGAAGAAGAGGACTTGTCCTCTAATAATCTTTAAAAAAATATGTTTACTACTAAAATGAGAGCTTATCCTTGAACTAGTTTATCGTTGCTTCCAATTAATACGCATTTTATCTTCGATTCTAAAATGAGCTTGCATCCAAATTCAATGCCTTCAACAACTATCGAATTAATACGCCTTACAGAACATGCACATTAATCAATAAAAAACACGATGTTACTTTAAATTTAATGAACTCTAAAACGAAAATCGATGTTATATAACTAATCAAAATCGTGATAATAGTGTACCACATTGTATACAATTTTCATTTTCATTTGGCATTTTAGAATTACTTTCTACAAGCAGTTAATAACGTAAATCAATATTGCTGTTGTTTACTTCTATTATTGATAAATGGTAATGCAATAGACGATGTTAATAACTATAATCTTGGCTTAGAAATAATGTAAATAAGGCGTTTTCTATATAAAAAAAACAAACAAATTTGCCAATCTTTATTTAATGGATTTATTACTAAATCGACGCATCACAATGGCCAGATTGACAATAATCAAATTCACAAAAATATAGAAAAACATTGGCATAATAAAAAACACAAAATTACGTCTTGTTCGAGCAATAATCTTCCAGCAGAAACCTGGATCATCACTATCTTAGTCTCTGTGCCTTTATAACTCCTATTATATTAGGATGATTATATAATTCCTTTTTTTAAATTTTTTTGATTTATAATTTGATCTTCTTATCCATAAACTGTCCCTTATTATTCCTTCTATATATATATATATATATATATATATATATATATATATATATATATATATAATATATTCCTCAGGATTTTCCTATTCCCATATCTCCAGTAAATTTTGTTCATTTTTTATCATTGTCCATGTCTCACTGCAGTACGTTAGTTACTATTGGTTGTATAGTTATTTTGTATAACTGTATTTTTGCCTTTCTTGATAAAAACTTGCTTTTCAACATTCCACTAAGAGCATGTACACTTCTATTGCCTGCTATTATTCTAGCTTGTACCTATTTCTTCTTAAATGTTAGGTTTACGTGATATTATTGCACCTAGGTATGTAAATCTTTCTACCATTTCGAATTCGTATAATGATCCTTCCTCTACTTCTACTTTAAACTTTTGTCCATCCCTGAACCGATCATCTATCCACTGCATACATTTTGTTTTAGTTTCATTTATGTAAAGGCCCATTTTCTTCGCTGCTTTTACTATTCTCTATACTATCTCCTGTAGCTCTTTTTTCCTCTTGCCAGCAACACTACATCATCCGCAAATGCCAAAGTTTGGTGTCTTTTATGATATAGGGTCCTTCTCTATTGATTTCCGCTTCTCGCATGATTTTTTCTAGGAATAAATTGAAGAATAATGATGACAAAGGATCGCCTGCCTTAATCCTTCGTTTTTTTTACATTTATTTCTTCCTTTTACATTAATAATGGTCTAAGACAGGGAGACGCGCTGGCGTATCTTCTCTTTAATATTGCCTTGGAAAAGAAAATCAGACAATTAAATATAAGAATGAATGGAACTATTTTTGATAGATCGACATAAATTCTCGCATTCGCTGACGATATAGTTATAGTGGGCAGAAGTATCACAGACATGGTGCAGTGTTTTACAAGGCTTACGGACGCGACAAATGAATTAGGAGTTGTGGTAAACGAGGAATAAACCAAATATATGTTGGTTTTTAAAAACCTTCGAAATAGCCAACAGAGAATTCAAATTAACAACCTTACCTTTGAGCAAGTCGAAGAATTCACATATTTTGGATCGTTAGTAAATGCAACAAACACGACAAGGGACGAAATAAATAGACGCATGGCAATAACAAATAGAACTGTTCACGGCCTCTAGAAATATTTAAAAAATAAAACTATAAAACGTGCAGTAAAGCTCAATATATACAAGACCTTAATAAGACCGTTTTTGATATATGGTGCTAAAACGTGGACCTTATCTCAAAATGATGAAAGACTTCTTGGTATTTTGGGAGAAAAATTCTTAGAAAGGTTTTTGAGGCCATAAATAAAAGTGGGTGATGGCGTCGAAGATACAACTTATATCAGTTATAGACCGATCCAGATATTGTGAAATTCGTGAAAGTGCAGAAACTTAGATGGGCTAGACACATTGCTAGGATGTCAGATCACGAATATACGAAGAGAATAACATTTTCAAAACCAGAGGGCACAAGAAGTAGAGGACGAATACAAAGGATATGGATTTATGATGTGGTAGAAGACCTACATATTCTAACGGTCAAAAGATGGAGGGAAGTTGCCAGGAATCGACAGGAGAGGCGAATTCTTTGTGAGCAGGCCAAGATCCAGAACGGATTGTCGAGCCACTTATGGTACTCTATGTAACAGTCCTCTATGCAAGTGAAACATGGCAGCTAAACCAAACACAAGAAGAAAAAAAGAAATATATGGGAAAGAAAAATATTGAGAAGACTTTTTGGAGGCAATAAAGAGGGGGAGATATATGGAAGAAGAAACAGTGCCGAGATCATGAGTCGTTTTAAAGAGCCTACGATATCAGAAGTTGTAAAATCATCATGATTGAGATGGTTGCGACAATTAGAAAGAATGAAAGAAGAAAGAATACCAAAACTATTAATAAATGCAAAAATGGGCGAGTAAAGAACAGTGGGTTGACCAAGAAAGAGATGGTTAGATGAAGCAGAAAAGGACTCTAAGGAGAAAGGTGTTAGAAATTGGAGAAGAAAAACTAAAGACCTTACAGAATAGAGAGCAGTTTATTGTCAAGCCATGGGCCTAAAAGGTTTGTGTTAGCACTATATAAAAGAAAATATTTATAAAGTATGGAAACCACTTATGGAAAAAAATTGT